CTTGATTGAATCAACGCAGTTGCGTTTGACGATATATGCTACTGCTCATAACATGGAATTTCTCTATTTAACCAAATAGTTACAGTGTGTAAATGACCGATGTTCGTGAACTACAAATACGTACTTCCATTTAATTATTTCATACATTTTTTAGACTAAGTAGTTTGGTGGCTAGTTAAACAACATAGAATCTACGAAAATTAAGAAGTTAAGTGTGTCTCACTTTTGTCTACCTGATGATAGTATTGGGTGCTGAATCTGACTAATAAAGTAAAATCTCTACCTGTACCATAGGTTGTTATTAAGTCAACTGATAACTACTAACATATTTGGCATGAGTTTGATAAAACTTGATAAGAATAAGTGACCTGACCTATGTTAAAAAATAAATAAAAAATTCAGTAGAAAACTACTCCTTTTCATTCAGCTTAAATTCTAATAGAATTTTCAAGATGAGTATAAATTCAATACCAAATAAGTTATGATGACTTATCTAGTAGTGTTTATAAGCTTATGATTATCTGTAAAAATAACAGTGAGTGATTACGAGCATAACTCAAAGGATTATACGGATATGATGATAATCATCTTCATAAATTTTATTAAATACTTCAGTTAGAATAAATTGCTATAAAACTGAATGATTACATAATAACCAATAGAGCAATTTAGAGTTTTTGTTAAATGGCCACATATTAACAGCAGTTACTTAAGAATAAAGAGACAAATATAAATAGGAATTATAAATGAAGGTATGTTGAATGTATGTAGTTGACTTAAAGTATGCAAAGTTGATGATTACTCAACAAACTCATTATTGACACTGTGTTCTTAAATAATGAGATGTCAAAAAATTAAAAAAATGTTCAGCAAATGAAATTTTCTATCAAAGTGACCCATTCATATAAAACACAAGAATAAATACCATCGAATATTTTTGAAAATATAAGTTCTATACAACTCGTGATTTTTTTATAATTTTCAGTAAGGAAGATAGGCGACAGAAATAAAATGACAAGCATTCAATCAATTTGTAAACGTTCCTCAACTAGTTACAATCTAAGAACGACAGATTTAATTACTTCAACCAAGTTTCACTTCCTAAAATATCTACATACTTATCTAAACAAGTAATGTGTCGTCTCATCCTACTTTATATCTGCATTGATACTAATCTTGATTTGAAAAAGTGTGTACATCCTTTCTACGAACAACTGATACTATTGTTCCAGTTGTGAGAAAGCAAGGACAATATGCGAAACAAATAGAATCATATCATTTTACTATGAATGCCATTTGTATCTTACTTAAAAGTAACTAGTTGTGGAGTGAGTGTTTTTAGTCACTCCACTCCACTACCAAGCTACCTTCTAGCTCACATATCATTAGAAACATGACGGACGAAACCAGACCAGATAAATGAGTGGTTATCTATAAATCAATATATAGTTTACGTAAAAGTTTACAGCTCAAGCCGCTATCTCACTTCTCGTCAAATCAAATTTATGCAGTCAAAAGATATGCAACCATCAGTTTGACATTAGCCTACACCTAATACTTTATTTAATAGAATAAGGCAATTTACAAATAATGTTCTAATTCCAGTTTCAAATAAGGATTTCACTTAACTGTTAGGTAACTATTAATAGCGTATATCTTATATTTATGTCGCGCAATTTGCTGATTACAGTAACCAATGATACCGGTAAATGCTTCATGACATCTTCAGATATGTTTCCGAGATGTAGTAACATCAGAGAATCAATATGGATTTGAAAGAGCATTTAATAAATTTGTTAATTTAAATATTTTCTTCGCAGAGTCATGTCTAGAGGAATAAATTAGGTTAAATTACCGTTAGAATTACGTTCATGAGAAAGTTAAGGGGACATGGAACCCACCAAAGAAATCTCTATTCTACCCCATAAACCAGATTAAGGTAATTTTTATACAGAAGTGTTTGGTTGTATAATCATAAGAACGCAATAATACCTCAATGATATAAATTATTCAAGTGAAAACAAAACTAAAACGACGGAGAATAACAGCACCATACGCTTGAAGATAAATGGATTTGATAACACATATTTCCCAACTCTTTCGTTATAAAATGAGAAATTCCGAGCTTAGGTGTACGTATTCAGTGAAAATAGTAAATATCTTGTAAAACGTCTATCTCCGGGACGCACTACACATGCCTACTCACTACTTACACCGACCCACGATAGTAACGAGCTCAGGAAATAATAGAAGGCTACGGATTGACTGAACGAGATAATGGAAACAGTCTACGAATGTATTGATTCATAAATAATGGTCGGGGAACTTAAGTGGTAATGCTCAAAATTGGTCGCATTAACATAGGTCTACTCAGCCTTCATTTTTTCAACTTTCCAGTTTTAATATGGTTTTATAACATTCACTCAGTCATCAGTCAGCAACAACATAGAACTTCGTACGTACGTACATCAGTTCGAGTTGCCACACCACATTAGCACAGAATGCAGTGGTCGATTCAAATCCCGTAGTGCTAGGTGTAGTAAAATTATAAGCTGTAGTCAGAAAAATTAGAGTTTGAAGATGCTATTCAAGGAGTATAATTCAGTGAAATAAATTTGGAAAGAGAAAAAAAAGGGACATGAAGAATTCAGAAGATTAGAATTTAGGAGAACACAAAGAGTGGATGCACCTGCGCCATTGCAAACAATTTTGAGCCTTATCATTCAGGGTCTCTAACCATCGGTTTCTATCATCTCGCAGTCCACAACCAGGTAATATGCACCTACCAGCTTCATCAATGGATTTGCCATCCTTACCTAGTACCCGTTTCCTAACAACTGTGTTACTTACTCGATGGTCCAAGGATATACGAGCAATGTTTCGAAGACACCTATGATCGAATACTAGTAGCCTATGAATATCCTCTACTCTTACCAGCCATGTTTCACTGCCATAAAGTAGGATGGAACGAACTGCTGCGTAGTAAACACGTCCTTTGGTTGATAGACGGATATCTCGCCTACGCCATAAATGACGCAAGTTGGCAAAAGCTAGTCAAGCCTTCTGTATCCGTGCTGAGATTTCGTCACACACCAGACCACAAGGGCTGATGAGACTCCCAAGATAAGTGGAGCGATCGACATGCTCAATTACTTCACTCCCTATCACTAGTTCGGGTGTCGATGTAACCCAATCCTGAAGCAACATTTTGCATTTCGAGGGAGAGAATCGCATCCCGAACATGCTTGCATTGTTGCTTAGAGTGGTCAGAAGACTCTGCATTTTGTCAGCGTCTTCACCAAATAGAATTATGTCATCTGCATATTCTAAGTCAACAAGTGAACATCCCGGTAGAAGTTCAACCCCTTGAAATTTAGATGAGGGAAGTGTTATCTCTAAAAGTACGCCGACCACAAAGTTGAACAAGAATGGGGAGAGTGGACAGCCCTGACGAACACCACTTGAGGTAATCAATTCTGATGACAGCTCGCCATAAGCTCTCACTCTACCAGTTGTGTTCGGGTAGAGAGCCTTTATAAGGTTAATGTACTTCTTTGGTACTCCTTTCAGTGACAAACACTGCCATAGAACCTTTACAAACTTTGAGAACAAAAATTCGAAACGTCATTACGAAATGCAATATAATTTATGATCATATTCTCCTCTTTTCTACTTTTAGTGTTCTCTGAAAGCTGTAATTCAGAGTTTATTACACAGCCTTAGCTAGACATATTAGCTTAGTAAAGATCAGTAGTTAATTTAAAATTAATTACTCCTTAATGTCAATCACGTAGGTCACCGAGTTGAAATTTACTTGTATGAACGAATAAATCAAAATGGTGAAGTCCCTGCCTTCCCGTCTGCTGTTCAAATCGAAGGTCTTAAAAAGAATAAATTTCACGACTTATGGAGACTAGAGAAAATACAGTAACGTAAGTGGGGGGGGATTATCGTTGTTGAAGTTATAAGATAAAACACCAACCGAGCAACTTTACTAAACCACTGAACAAATTCCAGCGTTTGATGCTGACATTTCGACTTAAAAGACAATCTGGTATAAGTAGTGGACCCCACGACTGTCATTTTGTAAACTCTACTTGAAAGTAACTGAATAAAAACACCAATTCGGTAACACTTTAGAACTTGAATATCTAACAACGTATAAATGAAAATGTAATCCTCAGGGAGAATAAAATGCAAAACAAGTTAAGAATGCATACGTATTAAACAAAAATGAATATGTAGATTACGGTGAATCCCCCACATGAGAACATTTACGCAAGCCAACCAGAATTGAAATAAACCGAAAAAGAGACGAAGTTTAAGAATATTCAACTTTATCATACCACATGAAGGGATATATTTGGAAAAGAAGCATATTTTACAATCAAAATTGTAATAACACAAACAACTATAGTAACAGCTGATGAGTGAGGAAGGGGAAAGACAAACAACAATATTCTGGCACGGAGAAGTAAGGATAGTAGGCAATAAATGATGAAAATGAGAAGGCCAAAATGTCTTTTTACCGAACTTGGAAGGAAAATAAAGAAATCAAAACAGAATATACACAAGCTGCTGTTTCACCGAGAAAATGGGTAGTATTTAATGAGAATATGTTAATATGACCAAAATGCAAAAGCTAAACACCTGATTACAACATTTTTTTTGAAGATTTTCTCGATATTAACAGCGTTTATGCATATGTTCATACGGATTCTAAGACATTACAAAATATAAACTGAACTTCTTTGATAAGAATTGTTTTTATTGTGCTAAGTTGCAAACGTACTATGAGATAATGATTACAATTTAAAAATATAACCGAAAAACAAAATGACGTTTGATATTCTGAAATAATGAATTGTCAAATAATAGTAGCAAAAATCATTTTATAATCCACTAATATTTATGATTTGAATAGTTACAAGCATACAAAGAACTAATAATTAATCACAGGCTTCTCTGAACCGAAACATTTATGACCAAAAACACTTTTCTTAGATTTTCGGTAATTTGGGTGTAGTTATGACGGGATTGGATTCAATTATATAACGACGTGCTTCTGCTTTATAATCGTACTGACAAGCATGAACCTCAGCGTAACGATGTACAGAACAGAAACTCCGATCACAACTACATGGAAAGAGATTAAAAAGAAGAAATCAGTTGTTTTATCTATCTCTTAAACAAGTATAAGTCTAATAAAATGACGAATATCCATATATGTTGGCGTTTAAACAGAATACACATACGCAGAAAATGAATCATCCAGGAGAGTCAAACAGTATAAGTTACCTGGATGATTTTAATAACCGTAGATATGCAGTATATATTAAAAATGTTCGGAAACCTGTATTACAACAAGGTCAAATAAATTAAGTTTTGTACACACCTTAATAGTTTGGAATTTTCGGGCGTTTTTGGATATAGTGATTTTACATATGATTATTTTGCCAGAATGACATTCATTTACAGACTATAAAAACAAACAATTCAGATGAAGATTTACAAAAAATTTAGGTTTAAAAATTCCCAACCTGATACTATACTGAATTGCGATTCTTTTTATCAATATGGAACTCTATGCATACATGGCTGAGTACCATGAGGAAAGTATTATCTAAGAGTGAATGATAATTGCGTAGTCATACATATACTAATGTATAACTCAATTATGGCGTAATCTTATTAATAGTGTAATGAACGAAGTCTTGCGTAGTAAACCAATTTATTGCATTACACACTATCATACACACCGTATTTGTAAGCGATGGAAGTACATTAAAAACATTATTTAGTCATCTTTTTTGAATTGCCTCTCACAAACTTCATCGTCCTTTCATTCCTGTTTTTATTTAGATTGATTCATGTTTTTTTTATCTTCTTTTCATTCCCCACTTCTGTCCATAACAATTCTACTTTCAATTCCTGATATAACCTACTTTAATCTGTCCGTAATAACAATACACACCAAACTAGTACATAAGCGTAAAAGAGCGATTCTCGGTAGATAAGGTAATAACTACATTTATTAAACCAGAATTCAACAGAGACATTAGCTATTCTCAAAAGTGTGAAGCACATTTATCTAATTATTTATTTGAACATACACATTTATACAAGGGGGCAACAAATACACATATGCCACAGAGCAACAATGAGGTTGCGAAGAGATGAAGAATGAAGAGTGGGTGTAACAAAAAGAAGAGCAACTATGAATATAAATTAGTTTGTAAGAGTGAAACAGTAATAATGGGAGAAGCAGTTCAATTAGGGAAAACACGACCAGAAAGAGTCACGCTCATTTTTATGAATAAAGTTAAAAAAAACGTTACAGCAGGATCGCCACTGGTTTCTATTCTTAGCCACGTCTGATAATATCTCAAGATACTGTGTTGCACCATCTCTCGGACCCCAACTAGCGTGTCTTGAAGGACCAACAGAAGCCAGTCCTTTGCAGCTTTCTTTCATGCCACGACACCATGTCATGCACTGACCACCTCTCCACTTTTTCCAACCAGTTCCACAGTCGGCAAATAATGCACGACGTGGAATTCTCTGGGATGACATTCGTAGAACGTGTCCAAGCCACCGAAGTCGATGTTTCAAGATGGTGACATCGATTGCATTATCATCTCTGTGCCCGAACATACGATGCCGAAACTCTTCATTACTAACATGGTGTTGCCACTGGATGTCAGCAATCCTTCGGAGACAACGATGATCAAACACAGAGAGTTGTCTAACATCCTTAACTCGGAGAGACCAGATTTCACAAGCATAGAGCAGAAGTGCCCTCAACGACGCGTTGTAGATTCGACCTTTTACAACCACACTGACATCACGAAGGCGCCAATGGTGGGCCAGATTGGCATAAGCCGCTCTGTCTTTCACTATTCGTGCATTGATCTCATCAATCACACCCCCACCAGCACTTATGCAGCTACCTAGATACACGAGCTTCTCGACTACTTCTATCTGCTCACCATCCAGGGTGAGTACAGGATTAGAATCCTGCCAGTCTTGTAGAAGTACTTTGCACTCCGAAGGTGCAAAGCACATACCATACCTACGGACACTGATTGCCAACTGATTAAGTGCGGTTTGCATGGCTTGGGTATCATCGCACAGCAAGATAACATTATCCACATGCTCAAGGTCGAGAAGTCTTTCTCCAGGCAACAGATCCACACCACCGTTACTTACACCCATCAGAGCTGTTTCCAGAACGTCGTCGATGGCGAAGTTGGTGAGGGATAGTGAGATTGGGCAACCCTGACTAACTCTACTGCTTGAATGGAACAATGGAGAGATGTGGTTGTATTCCCTTACTCTGTCTGAGGTGTTAGTATATAAGGCTTCGAAGATGTTAATAAACTTCCCAGGCACACTCTTCTTCAATAGACAGTCCCAGAGAACAGTACTGTCCAACGAATCAAAGGCAGCCCTGAAGTCAAGAAACACTACAATTGTTGGCCTTTTATAAGTATGACGGTGTTCTAACATTTGCGGGGTGTGAAGATATGATCAATACATCCTCGACCAGAACGAAAACCAGCCTGCTCCTCGCGAGTCAATCTTTCTCGGGTTTTGAACAACCTACGAAGTATGACGGAAGCCAATAGCTTGGACGCAATCGGAAGTAGACTTATCCCCCGATAGTTGTTACAGGAACGACGTGAACCCATTTTAAAGATAAGGACAACTTCCTACTCGTTCCATGATGTTGGAACACTCGCTAACTCCCAAACCTTTGTTAGGAACTTAGTTCCTTAACTAGATAGTGGTCAGAAGTAAGTTATATGGTACGGGAGATTTGTGGTGATTCGGGAGTTGGAGTTCCTTATGGACCTCCGCCTTATTATGTGGGTCAGTCATCAGCAGCCATGGAGGGTGGGACAGTCTGATCGTGTCACCGGGATTATCCCTCGAGAAAATTTTTTACATCATTCAAGACGTCTGTACATGTTATTGATTGGCCTTCCGTTAGCTCCACAGATAGTTTCACTTTCACCTGACTTAATGCGACACCAATGACAGCAAAACGAGACGAAGATGCCACAGGGTCCCCAGATAAACGCACGTGAAACAAGATTTTCGAAGCGATAGATGGAGAGCGAATTTGCAGTAGTTCACTAGTCTTGAATACAGGTCTTGGAAAGACAACAGACATTGCTGTTGCGACTTTCTAAAGATATAGTGAACCCTGTTTGTTGTCCGATCTGCATTAGCGCATGAACGATAAATGATGGCAGTTTCAATGGTATACGTGGTCTCAGAAGGACTGGTTCAGTATTCGTAGTCAGTGGTAGCTTTCAAATTTTGACCAGTCAGTGACTTGAGATCGTTTAGATAGGACAGATTTTTCACCATAGGCGAGCAGTTGTGTACGTTGAAAAATAAAATACCAATATGAGAATATAAGGGAGCGGATAAGTGACGTAATATAAAAAAACGAATGTTATCAAATCATTGTGAAGTGATTAATCTGAATGAGAATTGAAGTGAGAATAATTTTTCCAACAGGATTCATCATTTGATTTGTGTGAGGGCTGGGATACTGTCTGGGCATTCAAAACGAAGCAAGCTTTTGACCTAAGGGGCTGATCCACACAACAATGGAGCAACGTTAAGAAGTGCAGTCGCATGGTAGACAGTGGCCAACAAAAGGTTAATACACCATTTGCTCCCTGAGGACCCTGAAGCTCATGTGCACCACTGGTTCGGAATCAGGTTTTCCCAACTCCCTTAGGTGGATCCTTCGTAAATAATCTTCAAAAAAACAAAGTTTACTTAAGATCAAAATTGAAAGTTGTGATAAGTGAGGATTCGCTGGGAAAATACTATTTATACTATAAATATTTATCAACAATACTAATATGGTTGAATGTGCTACCAAGGTTAACGTAAGAATCAAATCAAATAAGATTATTTGCTCCAGTTTACAGCTGTGTGTTATAAAGATGGAGGATAGAATGAGATGGGTACCAGTTCTATGCCTAGTGAACACAACTAAATCCATTCAAATCGAAGAAGTGGATTATACCAAAATTAGTTTCATAAAAAGTCACAGGACAACGAAATGAACATACCGACATGTGTAGCTGTTTGTAATCCCTATCTTCCGCGAGCACATAGAACATCGTTTGCGTCTAATGGAATTAGGGGATGAAGGCAGGTGAGATGCTTCAATCAAAACGGTCGAAATATAGTGTGGAGGAATGGGATTCAATAATTTCTCATCACAATCGTTTGGTTTGCTGAAATGGACAGGAGTATTCAGTCGACTTCCCCCTCTTGAAGGTAATCGTGGTGGAATAGTTGTGGCCAGGTGACCTAAATATTTAAAGGAATTCTAGATGTTAAAATTGGTTTGAAATTTCATCTTCATACTAAAACCTTGTAAATACTACAAACCATAAAATAAAACATCGATAAACTAATGTAGATTAGATAATTGAACAAACATAGTTCCTTTGACCACTAATTTGTGGTTAGATCATTGTGCGTTTAGAGTTATAACTCACACAAAGCAAAATGTAGCTGACACCCAAGTAATTTACTTACTTACTTACGCCTGTTACTCCCAATGGAGCATAGGCCAGAGCATAGGACAGAAAATGGTTAACAGATCATTTTGTGGGATTAGGAAATGTTTTCCATAGTTATGAATGGGGAGATATGGTCAACTTTTTGACAACACTCATCTTAAGGTTTTTCGGTTTCATGGGCATCATGGGAAAGCAGATTCCTAAACTTCGTGAAAGACCAAAAAATAACAATCTTGCACCACATGAGAAAGCACGCCGAAAACTGGATCCTTAGGATAAGTGTTTGCTTAGAAACATAAAAAAGGAAATAAATTATCACACAACAGTGAAATATCATGTGTTGCATATTTCTAGGGAGAATGAAGACTACTCAGAGAAGAGAATTTTCTTTCCGATGATATTACGCCCTTGTATAACTGTATTTACATGTAATTTCTTACATTTAGTAGTCTATAGTAAGATGGAGAAGTGCTGCAAAATTACCGAAGATAGTAAAACTTGCCCAAGTGTCGGATGTAAGGGTCTAGAGAAATAAAGTGGTTGTATATGTTAATAAAGTAATCAAGGATCATCAAGTATTGAATATAAGTCTATAAAAAGGAAGGTTTTTATTTCAGAGTAGATAAAGTTATCAAAATTTTTTTCAAGTAATGAATGAAATGGGTTGTTGCATCATTTAGCAAAGTAATAAAAGAAAGTTACATGACAGTTTTAGAGGTAATAGAAAACAAGAATTTATACATTAAATAAAAAATCAACCGTCTACTTTACAACGAAGAATGTAAAGAATCAGATAATAATTAGAACTTATAATCTATAAAATTAGGAGTGGTGCTAAGGCTGTTGAAGAATGAATGAGTAAACATAACTCTTTTGCATACAGTGGTCGATGAGTTGGGGACTGAATATTGACCTCTCATTTACGCCGTCAATAAGAAGTGAATGACTGAAAAGTAGCTGAAGGTCAGTATTTCTCACGGCATTCTCCCCCAAGTTTCTACCTTCTAGTCTAATAGTACATCACGATTAAATCTATTCTAGATTCAGCTTTGTTAACATCTGACTTTATAATCCAAGTTTCTTTAGCCAGTCTAAACAGTTATCTGATGCTAACGAACGCCACTTCCTCTTCCACCTCCACTTTTATTGGCCATCATTTATCCCGATCATAACGTGGATATTAAGCTATTATCTCCTGCCAAGCTGAGTTTTCGAGTAGTCGTTAGTTTAGAAGAATCCTAAATTCATCGACTCTTTTCAATCTTCCGACTTAGGTCACTAGCAGATGTTACCGATATTTTTAATTAAGGTCGAAATTTGTGTCTAGCTATTTTAGGATGAAGATTAATACACGGTTAACTAACTACTTAGTTGGTTTAACCTTGAACATAACCCCTTCATCGTTAAACTAACTTCGAAGATCTGCTGCGAACAGTTTTCAAATCTTCATGGAAAAATTTTATTAACACCTAGGAAAATGACTTGCTCTACATAGGTCTTATACATATGAATATATATATATATATATATATATATATATATATATATATATAGTGCCATTTGGCGAAATACTAGGGCTTGTTACAAGACCGAGTTAGCAGTACGAAACTAGTCAAACAAGGATCCATGTTTTCTAGTACATATATTTTCTGGAAGAGTTTGCTATAAACACCAGTGTTATGGAGCACATACTACCAAAAAACCTTTTTTCTATGCAAGTTGTTGCTTCAGGACTGGTCTGCGTCAACACCTGAACTAAGGATAGGGAATGAAGTAGTGGAACGCGTTGACAACTTCACTTATCTTGGAAGTCTGATCAGCCCTAATGAGTTGGTGTCTGACGAAATCTCAGCACGGATTCGTAAAGCTCGATTGGCTTTTGCCAACTTACGTCACCTTTGGCGAAGGCGAGATATCCGTCTATCAATAAAAGGACGAGTATACTGCGCGGCAGTTCGTTCTGTTTTACTTTACGGCAGCGAAACATGGTCATTAAGAGTAGAAGACACTCGTAAGCTATTAGTATTTGACCACAGATGCCTTAGAAATATTGCTGGCGTCTGCTGGGATCACCGGGTAAGTAATAGTGAGGTTAGACGCAGAGTATTAGGGAATGATGGTAAATCAGTTGATGAGGTTATGAATCTTCATCGACTGAGATGGTTGGGCCACATGTTACGTATGCCTGAACACCGATTACCACGACGTGCAATGCTATCCAGTATTGGAGATGGTTGGAAGAAAGTTAGGGGCGGCCAAACCACAACGTGGCATCAGTGTTTGAAGACACTAACTTCTAGTCTGAGTCATGTTGGCAGATGCAGACTACTTGGTTGGGGTCCGCGTGACTTTCGTAATCAATGGTTGGAGACTCTTGGTGACATGGCTCAGAATCGATCACAATGGCGTCGGTGTATACACTCCCTGTCTTCCCTTAAACTAAGAGATTAAAATCACTTCATATCTTTCTTTCTACGAACCAATTCTTTCTTCTTGTACTATATCTCTATATGCAATCTTCCTCTTATTTATTACCACCTTTGACCTAACCACTGCTATGAATCCGGTGTTCATCTTGTTGTGCTGATGCGGTATGGCAACCTGGACCGATGCACATATGTGCCTGGTCCTACGTTGTAGCTGACTGACTGACTTTCCTATGCTCACTACAAAGTAGAAAGCAAATGAAAGTGATTTTTGTCCCAGGACATAATTCCGAGGTAACATTACACATGATTCATTGGGTAAATGTCAATATTAAAAAGAAAACACCTTTCTTCTAACCATATATGGATGTAAACTTAGTTTGAAAATGTCTCAATGAACTTGAGAGATTTGTTACACAACTGAATAAGGTAAAATTATATGCACACGAGTAAAAAGTACCTGTCGATACTGAACTCCCCAACTTCGGCAAGAATGGAACGGAGGATGAAGTTTTCGTAGGAGTCGAACGGTTGCTGTTTGAACTAAAACGACTGGAACTTCCAAGTCTTGTCAATTTGCTAACTTGTAGAGAATTCATTGAATGCTGTCGGGTTTGACTGACAGAATCACTACATAACGTTGGTCTATTGTATGACAAAGTGGTCACTGAGGTTGTGAGGTTTTTGTCAGGAGACGAAAACTGATTTATATGTTGAGGAGACCTCAGAGACAAGGAGTTTTCAAACATACTACCCTCCGAACTTTGTGAAGTGCATTCTGGATAGAAAAGGGAGGGTAAAATGTTAGTAGTCGATTCAGAACCTCTACACTGTGAATCAGCTGTTCTGATGAGGCAGTTAACATCAGGAGGTGTGATAGTAGCATAGCGACGCTGACGAATTCGATCCCTGGTGTCAGTATGAGGCGACCTGTTATGAAACATACAATTCAAAATCTGTACCGAAAATATAGTGGTATATTGTGTACATATACTGAAAGATAAACACCTGAATAAACTACGTGGATTATCCATACATTAATTTGTTACAGCATGAGTGAAAACTGTTATGTCCGAACGAATAATAAGTGCTATGAGTTATTTATGGACTATTATTACGTACGTTCTTGTCGGATAATTACTAAACAACTAGACTATATATGTTCGTATTGTTTTTATCATAAACTTTCATTTGACCTATTAGCTGCTGTTATATGATTTACGATCCTTAACTTATTCTCAATTTTTTGGTCACAGTATCCTATACTCGCAGCCACTCTTAGCTTGATCTTATTATTATTATTCATTTTATGGTGTGATGCAGTTTGGTCTGTCTGTATATAAACCACGTATGTCTGAAATATACGATTCATATAGCGAAGGCTGATATTTGTGTTCTGGACTGAACGGGCTGGACGATAAGATACCATTCAGAGGACCAATAAGGACATGGAGTTGACTCAAAGCTGTTTGTGCTGGTTAACGCATCATTAGTTTAGCACAAAGACAAGGTCATAGAAGTCGATATGCTGACTGGCGATTTTGTCACGTGCTATTTAACGGGCCATAAGACATAACAGGAACATTTCGTGATAAATAAACAGGACAAGTTCTGGCATTGTAAAAAACCTAAAATGATCAAAAACCGTTCGTGTTAAACCAACAATTGATAAAAATAGTCAGTGAGCCATCCACAACGCAGAACCGGGCAAATATGTTTCTTGGTTCAAGTTGCCTTACCGGATTACCACAGCGAGGTAAAGTAACCAAGATAAATATCAGAGTAGAACTAGTGACAGGATGTGACATTAGGAAAGATTATGTATAAAAAAGGACACAAGGAGATCTCAGGACTCAGGTTCTAAGGGAGACAGAGAGTAACCGATTGAATTGGTCCAAACGGTTCTAAGCCATTTCATTCACAGTCTCTAACCATTGGTTGCGATAGTCGCTCGGACCCCAGCCAGGTCGTTTACAACCACCTACATCGCACAGTTCGATTATCTGTGACTTCATGGACTGACGGCATGTCCTGGTTTGGTTGCCCTCAATTTTATTGCAGCCTAATTCTACACCAGACAACAAAGCTTGTCAAGGTGGGTGCTGGTTGGGTATACGTGCCACATGCCCCAGTCACTTCAGTTAATGAAGGTAGGCTACCTCACCAATTAATTTGCCGTCTTTACCCAGAACCCTGCGCCTAACATCAACATTGCCGACTCGGTGGTCCCAAAATACACGAGCGATGCTCTGGTAACATCTACGATTTGATACTAGTAACCTAAATATATCCTCTTCTGATTAGTCATGTTTCGCACCTTTAAAGAATAGATCAAACTGGTGCACAGTAGACTCATTCTTTGGTTGCGAAACGGGTATTTCGCCAAAGTCACAGGCAACGCAAATTGGCGAAATCAAATCGACATTTCACCAGGCCTCAAACCTACCAGGATTGGTGAGACTTTTAAAATAATTGAGGTGGTGGACGTGGTTGATTAGCTCACTTCTTATCATTGGTTCAAGAGTTTACACAGACTAGTCCCGAGGCGAAATTCCGCACTTAAAGAGAAAGCGTCGCATCCTGAACATGCTTGCAATGTTATTCGAGATCAGAAGATTGAATTTTGACAGCGTTGATATTAAGACTTTCCGAAGACATAGCCAGCCCTATCTGTTGTCCGACCTGCATAAGTGTGCGAACGTTGAAGGCAGCCAGTTTGAATGGTGCACGTGGTTTCAGAAAAACTGCTTCAGTATTCGTATTTGGTGGTAGCATACAACTTTCAACCAGGCAGTGACTCGAGAACGTTTAGATAGAACCGAGTTTCCACCATAGGCGAGCTGCTGTATAAGTCGAAAAGTAAGGATACATAAAGTGGTAATAAAAGAGAGTGAGTAAATGACGTAGTAAATAATAACAATAACAATAATAATGTGAATCGTTTGATTGCTGATCGAAGCAAGACAAGTATTTTCCATAAATATTGACATTTCATCATATTTGTGTGTGGGCTGTGATACTGCCCGGGTGCCCAAACAGAAGCAGGTAGTTTTCTTAGGGGGCCAAACCCTGAGCCTTTGACCTAAAGGTCTGACCTACAAGGCAGTGGAGCATCGTGAGGGGATGCATTCCCATGGAAGCCGGTGACCAACGATTGGTTCATACGTCATTTGTTCCCGCAGGATACTGAAGCCAATGTGCACCATTGGTTTGGGATCCGGTTGAAGCGCCGGACATTCGCTTTTCGTCCTCTCATTTTCGTAAACAACAGCCCCGCCACGAGAAGTCAGTGAGTAGAACTTCCCTGGCAGAGGCTATATACGCGTGGCCATGTGAGAGCATTTCGAGAGGGAGAGCGGACTCTCCCCACTCTTGGCCGTACCATGGCATTTGGGGGCAACCAGAATCCAGGACTGGGGTCTTTTTGATACGCTACTACACCACAGACAGTATCAGTCGTAATATGAAAGATTAGGCATCGAAGACACGACTCCAAAAGAAAATACAAACCAGTGAAATGAAATGTTGTGGATTTAGAAACTCAGGGCTTGGGAGAAGACAAAGAACGGATACAACTGCACGATTTCGAACGATTTTGAGTCATGTCATTCACAGTCTTTAACTGATGCTCACGATAATCACGCGGACGCCAACCAGGTAGCCTGTACCTATGAATAAGTCCAATTGAAATGTTTGGTCTAGATGAAGATAACACATTGTCAGTATAAAGTTTCGTAAATTTAAGTTCTAAGTCGGTCAGCTTGTCACAACATTAAGAAAAAGAAGCTTAAATCCCAGTACCTTAAATTGCCTTGATCATTATAACCCAGTAGTGCGTATGAACACTCAGAAGAACTGATATCTTGTCCGTAGACAATAATACTTGGTTGTTAATTCCTCCAGATTTATGCTCTATGTTTAGTTGTTGTACTTTCCTAAAAGCTTCATCGTGTAATATATTTTGCACATTGAACAAATAAGTGAGAAACTCACAAAAAGTTACCTTCTAAAAATTAACATAAAAAGCTGAATACTGTAACAATTGTGATTAATGGACGGCTCTCAGTGGAATTTTATCAGAAACAATAATTCGCTTAAGGGGATTACAGGTTAAATATACCTTACTTGTCCCGCAGACCAATAATTTCGCAGACGTAAGTGGTATAAAAATTATCGGTGCTATAGTACACAGTATTTTTACGATTAAACGCCACTTATCAGCGCGAAAATCTACGTTACAAATGATCACCTTAATAATTACACACCGTGTATGGTTTAGTAATTTATCGACCAAATACTAAATCATAAAGTTATTGATTTCAACTAATTTTGCCGACTTTAACTCAATCAGCTGGACTTCATCTTCATAAGCGGGTCCTAGCTAAAGAAATTCAACTAACCGAGTTCCATATTATTATAAAAATTAACGATTCGTGCTTTATCAAAATCAATATAAACTGACTGTGAAAACAGAAAAGGAAATAAATTATGAAAAATTAAGTGCAAAACACCTATTGAAAGTGTACTTTGGGAAATCAGATGCATCTTTCAAACAGTTCAGTGACGAAGTATGTAGATTTGACAGATGATTTCTGTTGATTTGTGAGTTCGTCCATGGAAAATCACAGGAATTAGCAGCGATTTCATTAACATGCTCGGAATTTTTCCCCCAATTGGCAATGTCTAAGACAGTAGGAAAAAGTAGACCGTTCAAACGATTAGGAAAATTCATGTAAAACTGAGAACTATAGTACTTGGTTCAGCCTGTGGAAACAGCAATTGAGATTACACTTATCACATAACAGAACACGTAGAAGTTGGGAACTAGTAGTTAAGTTGAAATTAACCAATTAGCAATGAACACCATGTTACCACGAGTTTGGAAATCTGATGATGAATGCGAGGAACAAACTATTTACACTAAAAGCCAGTAATCTACAAAAACTTAACAGAAAATATAATCAGTCTTAATAGAGTGGTTAGTGATCACACTACATGTAATAATTTAGAGCTTAGTAGGAAAACACCTAGTTTACAAAGCAATTTAAATTTGCTTACTATTCGTTATCAATCCAGATATATCGTAAAAACTCCAAAGGGAACTCACTTGAATGATAACCGTAAAACAACACACATTTTCTACTGTCTAAACTTATACGGTTTACTCAAAACGAAGTTAACAATTAGGCATTTTAGATTAACAGAATCGAGGAGGCATACCATGATACTGATCTTCAGCTGACGTTTCTTCTTTACACATAGAATATTTAGTATTTTGATACCAGTTTTGCTTTCTCAGACGAACGCTTTTCATTTGAGTCTTCAGACGTTTTACTTTTTCTGCAAGCTCGTCACACTCTTGAAGCCGGACAAAAACTTCGGCTTGAACGATACTATTGATTGCAGTCTCCAAAGCTTCGCAACTAATAGAGTGCGAATGATTAAATCCACAATTACAGAAGGAGCATGATTGATAGCCAGTAGATACGAGCGGTGGACTGTCATCATCCTGATCAGTATCCGTTTCAAAATTAATAGAAACCGAGTCAAGCTCTTTGTCGAACCATTCACTGTCCAAAAATGAGAAACGTATTGAGGAATTTTGTTCTTCACTTTCTTCCGGTAAGGGAGAAAATTCTCTGCGCGATTGATGTAGACAACGGGGTCCATCACAGCAGCGAATAGATGTTCGATTGGGAACAACCTTAGCCAATAGACTAGCAAGGATATTCGCTGATGTGGAATTAGTTGTTTCCGTATTGCTACAATTATCAAGATCGTCAACACCATTTACCTGATTTTCTTTGTACATTCTTTCGATGTTCAATTTATATTCTCCAAAATCACTGGCGGCCGAGGTTTTCGATTCCCGATCCTGTTTTTGAAAAGGAGGAGGGATATGAGTATCACATGAAACCCAAATAGATGGATGATTTTGTTGATTTAATGCAGAAGAGGATTCAGAATAATGAACTGACAGTGAAAATGGAGACGAATTCGAGGATTCAGGAACGTCTGAATGATTGTTAACTGCTACAGCTATCGGGACACTTGCTTGTTCAGTTAAGGCATTTAAGGTTTCTTTTTCAGGAGAGGATGAACTTCGATTTCTCTCGGAAATATAAGTAGTTTCCGTAATGTTTCCATTCAGTGGGTTTATTCCAACGACCACTTCTAAATCAGGAGGACTTTGACCAATGTTGTTTGAATTTTGCTCTCTTAACTCAGAACTAGGCCAAAAACAAGTAAACAACAAACGATTGGTATGGACTGGATAACAAGAATTCGTATAACTATTATAATAATAAGGTAGAACTTTGGCAACATAACGTTCACTACTGTGTCGGTAAATTCGAACATATGTAGTTATTACGAGATAGATTCTCCTATGAACCCTAGTGGTATCAGGTCAAAATCATTAGCTACTATCTGCTCAACTTTTTATGACCAATAGTCATACAGTTCCGATAGTAAATTGCATTCGGAAACTAATCAGAATCCAGGACTCGGGTCTTTCTGATACGATACTATACCATACAATTTTTTTCCCATTTTTAAAAATAGAACAAAACATAAGTAAGAATAAACAATATCACGGGGACTGTAAGATGCAACGTGACTATTGTCGTTTCCGCGCACGGTACTAAGGAAAATTAGCGGGAAAGTACTGTTTTTGAAGTATGAGAATAATAATCTTAGTAAACAAAGCAACCAAGAGCAATATAAATTCCACTTCATATTGTCTGTATCAAACATAATTAGGAGTGCTTTTGTCATTATCAACTCGACAGGCACTCAATACCATGAATGATTGCAAAAGGGAAGAATCCAAACACACTAGTTCAGAGCAATATGTCACACCCCTCTGATGGCTTGCCACGTGAAACAAGTCTGAAACACGAAATGAGACATACATTACCAATCTAGTGATTTATAACATTTCTCGAAATTCACCAATCAAAAACTGAGTGTAAACAACTGGTATTGTAGAACTGAGCAGAAATTTCATGATAAAATAACATCTGATTTCCAAGAAAAAACCAATTTAACTTTGTGAGTCGATAACATGAGAAATTTACAGTACTTTAAAAAAAGCTTCATAAATAATAGTGATTAAAATTACCTTAATGGAGTGTCGCTATTAACAAAATTCTGAAAAGCATCTGTGAAACTAACATCCATGCTTTCTGTGCTACAGAAGACGAAATACTACTGGATTTTGGTCGAACATCTACCGAAAGATCAGGTTGTGATTCCAATGCAGTATCGCTTGGTAACACACTATCAGTGTTGGCTTCGTCTATTTCGTACCATTCTGCACCACTTTGTTTTGATTTGTCCAAAATCAAGTCAGAACGTCCTCCATTTTCAGTGTTTTGCGATTGCAATATACTCGGTTTTATCACTGGAGTTAAGAGGTTTGAATACACGAAACTACTGCCACAGGTAGAGCTGGACACTGAAGTAAAGGGTGGTACAGTGGTTTTTGATGGGTGGTTTGCTGCCAGACGTAGCGGTGGCGTCCGATGCTCAATAAGTGGACCACTTCGAAGACTTAAAACTAGACACAATGTTGAACCCTCAGATATGGAATAATCTCTTAGTCGACGATGATTATCCAATTCGCAATTTCGCCAAACAAGGTGTTGTTGATTTATTGGAATACCTGGGACAAGAAATTCATAACATTAACATCGAAAATTTTCAGAAGAGATCCAGAGCAAAGTCAATAATACTCTAACGAAGAAAATAAAACTGCAAACTGTTTGAGCCCAAGGAATAGTTACAGTTTAGATATGTTGTAATAAACCTTCTTCTACAAAAAGTGTGGAAGAAAAGACCAAGACAGTCAGCTCGAGTTTAATTATCGTGAAAACAGCGTTTAAACACATTTTTAGGGACTGCAGATTGCGTAGTACTAGAGAAGGAATACATGCACAGCTTGTGCTAATTTCACTAATATTATCTTACCTTGTCAATGGACGTTTTTTCCTTTGTTTGCTTTATACTGCTCGTGTTTTGCTGCTTTTTAATTTCCCACATGTTAAACGGGTAGTAGCGTTTGGGACTTTATCCCCAGATATAAATCTTTTTCTGCCAGTTTGTATATTACTTTTACTAAGATCCTCATCGAGTTTAAATTCAAAAACAAACGACGTTAACAAATCTTGTCAGCAAAAGATTTCGCGATTCACTTTTTTAACCTACTTATTCTATGTGCTGTTTTAAGTCATCGATGCCCTACATCTACAATTTTAGCCTTAAATTAACATTAGTAATGAGGACCTGTTATGACACGAATACCGTTATGCTGTCAATATACGTATATACGAAACTTACAAAAAGATTAGCATTTGGATTTGATAAAAGGCGTTCACCGTCGAGCTGTTCCGTATTGAGACAAGACCGCAGTCTAGTAACTCCTGATTATTGGCTTACTATCTGATGTCGTCCCCTCGACCGTTGCTGCTACATTGACGTGGTGGTCGGGCTTGCCTGTCGCGATGAACCAATCGAGCTATACTGGCCGGAATAATCACTCCTCATGGTCCTACTTTGCCAGACAGGTCGGCTGAAGAACGGTAAGACTAAAAGCAGCAAGGTCCGATGGCGAAGTCGTACTGCTGACTGTGCAGGTGTGATGGCAGTAAGGTATTTCCTTCGGAGAACCCGCATAACAGCAATGCTGCCTTCCCACAAGGAGGGATGGGGTTATAAAAGGTCCACCCTAAAATGCACACCTTGCCTTATCCCACGGATATCCGTCTCCGGCGGTAAGGTCTCAACCAGTACGAAGCTGACACGAAAATCACTTACAAAAACGTCGTGTGTGACCGACCACAAGCAGTTGTCCCTTGGGCACTGCGGTCAAGCGCTCAGGTCACTAAGACCACCTTTAATCCAACTTCCTTTTCAGGTAGCTCTAGAAGAACCCTTCCACGGTGTGGGCAGCCAGTTGAGAAACGTAGCCAATAAGAGTAGAAGATATTTGTAAGCTACTAGTATTTGACCACAGATACCCTAGAAATATTGCTCGCATCTGCTGGGATCACTGGGTAAGTAATAGTTAGGTTAGACGCAGGGTATTAGGGAATGGCAAATTAGTTGATAACGTAAATCTTTATCGACTGAGATGGTTGGGTCACGTGTGCCTGAACATCGTTTGCCACGACGCGCAATGCTGACTAGTGTTGGGGATGGTTGGAAGGAAGTTGGGGGCGGCCAAACTAAAACACTGCATCAGTCCTTGAAATCAATAACTTCTAGTCTGAACCATGTTGGTAGATGCAGACTACTTGGTTGGGGTCCGCGTGACTATCGTAACCAATGGTAGGAGACTCTTTGTGACATGGCTCAGAATCTATCACAATGGCGTAGGTGCATACACTCTCTTTCCTCCCTTAAATCATGAGACTAAAATTGCTGTATATATTTCTTTCTACCAACTAATTCTTTCTTCCTGTACTATATTTTTCTATGCAATCTTTCTTTTATATATTATCATCATTGAATTAACTACTATGAATTCGATGTTCATCTTGTTGTACTAATGAGGTATGGCAACTTGGACCGATGCATATATGTGCCTAGTCCTACGTTGTAGCTGACTGACTGGTGTCATCCCCTAATGCAAACCACCTTCATCAACCTCTTAATCGAACAAGGATTGATATTAACTACGGATAAACGAACAGTTTTATCATAGTGAGTACATGTATTCCGCGTTCACCCATACACATTAATAAATCTAAGATCACAAAATCCACGTGGTCGAAGACATACAATTTAAGGACGAATTTGGAGCATCGTGACCGTAACTTCTTTAACTGAAAGGATTTTTTCTGGTTGTACCGTTCTTTTTCCCCGATTATTATTATTTCACTACCATACATTAATTTGTGGTCGTTATTGTTCTTTTTTTGTTGTTCGCCAAAGGGGTTAGGAACCACTGAGTGAATATAAACATTTACTAATGTTTACAAACAGACAACGTACGACCCGGTAGAGATGTGTCCACACTTCACAGCAACACAAACGTGAGACCGTGATATAAAATAGACAAAACAAGTAACATAAGATATACATGGGAGAGGATAAAGCTTCGAACGAAATGTAATGAAATAATACTATGCTAACCCAATTTGTACACCGAAAGGTGGACGATAGGCCGATAGTTAAATGACTATATACTTGCGACAAATACAATACCTAGTTGTACGATCACGAATGAACAAAGGACAGACGGCTAAGTGATACTCAAGTACACTGGCATACAGACAGTTTGTGATAGATAGCATTTGACTCAATGCACAAATTTTGTATCACAGAGTTAAAAACAGATTGGAACAAATTTGATCTAATAAAGTAATTGGTAATTTCAAGATAAGTAATAAGAATGCCTAACTACGCTGTCTGAAGCGTAACTAGAGGTTGACGTAGACCAGTACTGGGTCAATAACAACGTAGAACTTTGTACGTCAGTAAGTCAGTGATCTTGAGTGCTGTTAGAGGTATGAGGGCGGTTATCAGTTTTCGGTTGCCTATACCGTGGAAGGGTTCTTCTAGAGCTACATGAAAAGGAAGTTGGATTAAAGGTGGTCTTAGTGACCTGAGCGCTTGACCGCAGTGCCCAAGGGACAACTGCTTGTGGTCGGTCACACACGACGTTTTTGTAAGTGATTTTCGTGTCAGCTTCGTACTGGTTGAGACCTTACCGCCGGAGACGGATATCCGTGGGATAAGGCAAGGTGTGCATTTTAGGGTGGACCTTTTATAACCCCATCCCTCCTTGTGGGAAGGCAGCATTGCTGTTATGCGGGTTCTCCGAAGGAAATACCTTACTGCCATCACACCTGCACAGTCAGCAGTACGACTTCGCCATCGGACCTTGCTGCTTTTAGTCTTACCGTTCTTCAGCCGACCTGTCTGGCAAAGTAGGACCATGAGGAGTGATTATTCCGGCCAGTATAGCTCGATTGGTTCATCGCGACAGGCAAGCCCGACCACCACGTCAATGTAGTAACAACGGTCGGGTTGGAAAGAGAAAAAAACAGGAATAATTCAGAAGATTAGAATTTGGGAGAACACAGTGGATGCATCTGCGCCATTGCAAACGATTTTGAGCCATGTCATTCAGGGTTTCTAACCATCGGCTTCTATCATCTCGCGATCCCCAACCACGCAATCTGCAGCTACCGACATGGCTCAGTCCACTTGTCAGTGACTTCAGAGATTTGTACCAGTACCGAAGCAACAAACCAATTCGTCAAGGTGTATAGTAAACTTTGTCACTAAGGTATTTAATACATGGGAACTTTTTCACTGTGGAAAGTGATTTGGATCAAACTACTTTTTGGAGTATTACTGATGCATGTAGACGCACTTTAAGTGACACCAATCTACAGTAAAGACACTTTGTAGATGTTGGGTGACATATCACTAACATTCGGTAACTTAGAAGACTGTAACTTACCTAATACCACCGTTTTCACTTTTTCGATAGAATAGACTGGGTTATGGAAGGAACTGGAACATCAAGACGAGTGATGTGCGCAGATTATCACTGATAATCATCCAGAGGAACAGAAATGGCAAGTCACGAAATTGTGGTCCGTTTATATGGTGGAAAACGCTGGTCCGTAAGGTACAGTATACTATATAGTATACTGTAGTGGTTATTTCATATGAAATAACCACTAAACAAACCCAAAAACCGACGCGAACAGATTGAGTAGATATGCGCACAAAAGTTATCGCACAGAACAAACAGATGCAGAAATTAGTATACTTACCTTCAGTCCTTTGAATTTTAGATTTGACTGATGTGATAGTTTCAGCAGGGGAAACATGCAGTTCAAAAGACAAACCCGTTAGTGTTTTGACAAAGATACTCATAGACATTATTATTTTGAAAGCAAGCTGAAACCAAAGACGATGTACAACTGATGAGCAATACAATGCGGGCAAATGACCTCCATACAGTCGAGAGACTGAGTCTAACCGTCACTTTAATTTTCCTGCCAAATGCAAGCATGCGACGGTAAATACCATGAGGTTGTATATCAGCCCTACTATGTTCAATTTACATAGTACTGAGTATTTTTGTGCGTTTGTCATTCATGCAGAGTGTGGTTTCTACCCGTAAGGCCAAATTTTATACTGAAGATCGGATTTGAAACTCAAACTTCCATATTATTTCTTTTTTGATCTGAATGTGTTTACAAACGGAGTGTAGCGGTAAATAAATCCCCAAAATAAATAGCTCTGTCAGTTTTCGACATTGGATGCCGACCAGATAAGTTTTAGTGGACTCATCTAGCTGAAGGCTCTCGGTCATGCATCCGTACCAGATCATGTGTGGTAACGCTGTGCTTAACATCCACCGCAATCGCTAGCCAGATTAGATCAGATAATTCCGATATATTGGTAATTGCCAAATACACTCTTCCGATCTCCTCGACTCTGCCTTTTGGTTTCTCTTGGTGGGTACGAATTATATTGAGAGGTGTTGCTGGTAAAAGCGTTGTCAAACACTGAATACCTGTACCATAATCAGGAGCTTCAGTAATATGTTGTGGCAATTAGTTCCATTCATTGATGACTCGACGGAAAAGTCGACCGTCGGTTGACAAGTTATTTCTTCTTGTGAGGCTCACCACAGTGTCCTAATACTAGAGATGCCACAGGTGTTCGGAGTTTGACAACGCCTTTACACATAACATCTATATGAACAAAATTTATCAACCGAGTCAAACCAGGAGTCAGAAGCGAAGAGGTTCGAAGATATATTTGACAGAATATCGATATACCGAGTAGTGAATAATCTAAGCTGGCTAGCGGTTGTAGGATATGTGGGGCTCAGCGTACTCACTCGTGATATGGTGCGGATGCGTGACCGAGAGCCTTGAGCTAGGTGAGTCCATTGAAACTAATACGGTCAGCATCTATTATCAAAGAACTACAGAAGTAATGACTTTGGGGATTTATTTACTACTGTAGCTCACTCCCTTTCTAGTGGAGAATTGGTGACCCTAAGACTTAGCCAGTCATAAGATTAAACCCAACTAAATAGTCGTTGGTAAACATTCATCTGATAGCTTGTTATGTCCAACAGCGTCTGGTCGTCCTTCCTTGCTATAAGGGGCCATGTGGTACCGTATAATCATGGAAAACAGGTACGATGAAAACTGCAACTCATCGTAAACTTCGTTGAATCATTGTCCTTTCCATAATATGAAGGTATATGTAATTGAATGTCAAATTACACCCGTATGTGTGCAAAGACACAAAACAGGAAAACAGAGAAATAAACTCGTATATATGCGTTTCACAAACATGCAATGGAGTGAAAACGATTTTAGCAGAATATTCTTTTTGAGGCTGTTTTTGAAAAAGTAAAAACAGACACATAAAAGCAAGCATATTCGCAACGCCAACAAAATGTTGTTTTGTTTTTTTTGGAATAAAAACAACAAATATATATGCGCACATTAAAAGTGGTTTGTTTCATTTCCGACACAATACAGAAAAAATCGAGATGATGCGAGGTGTTGTGTAGTGTCTTGTATGCGGTAGTTAGGACTGATGCCACTACTATATCTTCTTGAAGCTGGACGAGCTAAAGAAGGTTGATCCCTTAGAAACCGCTCAAAGAAATCCGTAGAATTATGGTCTACTATGATATTAGTACTGCTCTAATAATAGACCTAATCCTAAATTTGTAGATTTGTCATGATAAAACTGCCTAATCTATAAGATCTTACGTGGAAGTCACACCATCGACTACACCAACTCACTGTATCATATCAATTACCAATACATGGTGTAGAACAAGGTTAGGCTAGAGGAAGAACAATATATTTAATATGAATAGAAGATATAAGGTAACACTCAGCAGAGACCACGCCTGCATGGCCGAGCCATGCCACTCGATCAACTTCAGTCCATTCAATTCATTGTTCGCGCCTTCTCCATTGTTAGGTATTTCTCCGCGTTAAATATTGAATATCTATTTTCTGAGTAGTCTCGTGTTCACAGCTTTGTGGATTGTGTGGCTATTGTCCAATGCCGCTACAAATCTCACGGGACAATGCGCCCAAAACCACATTGTTTGCCTGAGAAATATGTTGTGTTCTTGAAGTAGACTGCTCAGTGTAGTCCATTTGTCTAGAATCTCGAGGGGAGTGCCTGTATGGGGATGAGCATACAGAGAAGCGAAGAGGTTTGTTATCGGTGAGAAGAGTGAATTCCTATCATCTTACAGAGTGGTCAAAGTGCCGCACAGTACAATACATGACTAGGAGTTCCCTAACAAAAGTGCTATAACTTCTGACTCGCGCGCGCTTTTGAAGGTTGTAACTTTTTTTCACGTGGTATTATTTTATTTTCCTATTAGTTTTTCTCTTTAATTTAACACTTAATAGCGATAAATAATTCGTCACTGATAGGGTTCTATCAACTTGACACCTTATTTAGGAACTCAACGTCATAAATTAATCTTGCTAATTCTCACGCTATCTCTATCACCAATTAACGTTAATATATTTACTCTTAACTAATACTGGGTCTGATCCTACCATAAAACTTTACACGTTCACTAAGTTAAATTACAACTATCGCCGTCCACCTAATTAAACTTTGTATTTACATTACTTCCGATAATGTCCAGGCCATCTAAAAAACATATAATCTCTCCTGATGCCTATAGCACCTGCAAAAGATCTAAATCAGTCACTAAAGCGAATAATGTGAAACCTTATAAACACACTGATCAGTCTGCATCCTACTCTGATCTTCCCTCAGCCACACTAAACGTGCACCGTTTACTTGGACAAGACATATCACTACCTTGCATCTCGCTTGTCGATATAAATAAGAGCAGTCACATACCGTTAGAGTCGACATCATTTGTCAGTCCAAACAAAAACACCACATGTTGTGAGCAGTATTTAGACAGTGCTGTTGACCCCAAACACCCAGCAATCTCACAATCGGCCATCCTGAGTAGCGGCCCACGGAGTACATGTAAGCCTGCCTACAATAGCCAGCCCGGTGATGTAGATCTTGACTACTCACCCAGACATATACCCCATCCCCCAACTAAGTGTGCACAAAGTGAACATCCGCTAGACACCTGCAACAGGCCTGTATGTAACCATATCGACCTTAGAAACTTTGATATAAACTCCGATAATCTCACCACTGGTAGACCTAAAAGCAGCCAAACAGAACTTAGCCTCACCCAAACTATTCAAGACCTATTACCTTACAAATATTTAATCAGTGTTCCAGAAAATCCCGATCTGGAAATTATAAAAAACACTGAAAAAGTAATTGACCATATATCATCTGAAGTGTTGAAAAGACTTCAGTGTATGCAGAATGTTATTGTGTATAATATACCTGATAGTACGAACATAAAGATTGCTAAAAATACTCTGCTACAAGAATGTGGATTGTCGCAATCTTGGTGTGTAACAAGAAGATTACGTAAGGCACACACTAAAGCCTCCTGTCCCATTCTATTTCAGTTTGGTAGCACCACTGAAGCTAATCACCTCCTCAATAGTCAGTCATTACTGAGGCGTATTCCAACATTTAAAAAGATTAGGATCATTCATGACAGGACCGCTATCCAGCGTCGAATCTGCAATGGAACACAAACTGATCAACCCAGCTTACGTAGCCGTGGCAGCTACAGCTCTTGTCACTGCACAAATCCTAAAATATCATACACTGCCCCCCCAAAAAACGGAGGCACGTCGGACACTGCTATTAGTCCTAAGGACAAGACCGCACATAAAGCAGCTACAACCACTCACCCTCAGCCCAGACACTCAGCTACCCCAAAATGCCAAACCACTTATGCCTCAATAGCGTCCAAGTATTACCCTAGCGGCCCTTATAAAATGCCTAAAAATGATCCTCCCAGGGATCGCGCTAACAGCTACAGACCCGCAGACACCGCTGTGCGAAAAAATACCAAACTCTCCGTAAAAACCCACCAATACTCCAGCACCCCTAACCCAAAACATGCACCTTCTCATAGTAATAGAATGCCCTACAACAAACATAGTGAACTGGCAACACCCACTCATCCTAATGTGAAACGACACTCGACAAGAACCACACCCACACGTGATACCCATAAGTCATATGGTGTCAACCTTGTAAGCCCCATGAACCAACACAAAACTATACACAACAGAAACACCTCTCCTGGCAACAATAACAGGCATTCCTTCATCCCTTACCAGAAACATACAACCTCCCCAACTAACCACAATAGGACTAAAATTGCCCACCGCACACGAGGAAGCCATAACGCTGGCCTACTTGGGAACCCACCTACAGATTCTAGGTACTATCTAAGTCAAGCCACCCAATACAACGGTTTAGTCCCCCCTAATTCGACATGCACACTATCTCATCCTTTTTTATCTCTCTCCCCCTCAACATTACTGCTATGGGGTCTCCAAATGTTGAGGGCGACAATCCCACTATTCTGAAACCATCTATATACTCCGATTTAATGGGGAGTAGCACATCCTACTCAACTTCGATAACTGTCTCTAGTCTTGAAAACTCCTTGACTGAACCCCCTGATCATTCCCCGGACACATTACCTAATCATTCGACTCTACCTTCCACTCTTAGACATACTTCTTTCACCAAAACCACACCCGACTACCCTTCTTGCATTAACCCTACTGGTAATAAACTAAACACTCATCAATATGGAGTCAACGCTCCCAATTCTTCTTTTTCTCATGGCAAAACAGACAAACCACTCGGTTTACATCATACCCTTCTACTAGACAAACAGTCACCGTACCTGACACTTATGTTAATCAACGCTCGATCTGTACAAAGTAAGATGACTTACCTACGCACCCTATTGC